TCTAAATGGACCATAGTGGGGGGACTAGATGATATGAGATACCATCCTAGGTCGAGTACGACCTAAGAAGCGGTTTAATTGGACCAGGTGGATCGGTAGGTCGATCGAACAGCAAAGACACCAGAGGTCAAAGTATCACCAGGCTGATGGTTACCTCACAGACAATGGAGCTCACCAGCATGTCGAGCTAGGTCTCTTGGTTAGTCTGATAGAAATTCGACATGGATACAAATAGGTCGATAGTGCGACCTAAGAGACGAAGTCCACACGCTGGAGATTAAAACGCCCTAGTTTGTATAAAGTCGAGTTAGTCATACAATTAGGCCGTTTGATAAGGTAGAATGATGTGAACACGATATTTAATATATAAGAAGGGATATTATTAGTATACGAACCACACATAGATATGACCATGTAGTCTTACAGAATTGGGCAGTTTGGCCACCCGAGCAGTGTGGACGGTTAGCTCGGGCAATTGGGCAACCTTATAATAAGGAGTGAGGTATGATCATCTAAATTTTACACTTTCTTATATACTGACAAGCTATACAATTATTGTTCATCAACTTCTTTATCCACATATTGACTTGATCATCAAAGTCTCTATGCTAGGACCTCTCTTGAGGCTGTTTTGCAGGTATATAGAACCGGTCGAGTACAGATCCAAGGTGCAGGAGCCGGTCGAGGTCATTTACACACCATATTCGTTTGTAGAATCTAGAGTTTTGAATGTAAAAATTTGGTTTTGAACAACTCGGGTTAGACTATATATTTGTTGAATATAGGATTGGAACAACTGCGAGCTGGGTTAGATGAATGTTTATGAAATCTGATTTTGTACAACTCGTGTTGAATCAGACAAGTGGTTTCGAGTTCTGGATTATAACCTCGTTTTTTAACAGCATAAGCTGATCCAGTTGGTATCTAGTGAGTTTTTATCAATCTTCGATGCATTCAGTTGATTTAAATGAGGTACTTTGTTGTAATGAATCATGAATGACACTTTTCTCACTTTTGGTCTCTTGGATCGCTTCCGACGTCGGATTTTTT